CAATCTAAAAAACTGTTTTTTAGAAAAAACATTTTAATGCACGACGTTTCGACGTTAACATAACGTCWTTTTCAAGTAAAGGGGAATGACGTTATGTTAACGTCGAAACGTCGTGCATTAAAATGTTTTTTCTAAGAAACAGTTTTTTATCGGTTAATTTTATCATCAAGTTATATAGTCAGCCACTATTTATTCGTATTTTAATTAACTAGACATGCATTTCAGAAATAAAATGAAAATAACTGAGATCAGTTTCACAACAAGAGGTTTGATATTGATCATTGTTTAACTCATAGACGTAAYATAATGTCMCGAGGCAATTGAGCGTCACCCTCACATCAGTTTCAATACGCTTGAAATACTTCCGGGAATATGCGCTTCATTTTCAAAAAAGCTAAAAATTTATTGAAGATCTTCGCGCTTATAAGTATAAAGATTCTATTTGTGAATTGATTGACAAAAAATGAGGAAAATGTCTCAATTGAACATCGTTTTCTGCTCAGTGTGGAAGAACCTTGTACTTTAAAGAAATTGCAAATCAAATTAAACTATCAAATATACAAAATTTGATAGTAAACTAACACAGATTACTGTTCAGTTGTACAAATATGTTTTTACCTTGTTCTTTGCATCCATATTCGAGCTTGAAATCCTTGTTTTTCTTCAGTCGTGTTGGCAGCTTTGAGTTTGAAAGAAGTTTTCAGATTGACTAAAATGAGCAAGTTGTCCATCTTTTATAGCCACCAACTCGTAATTTGGAGATGGAAATTTACTAAAACTGAGTAGTAAGCATGTTYTCGTAAAGTTTGTTTTTATTGGTCGACAGATTGCATTCATCAGCGTCCAGAGTCCATTGCTGTGAACAGGAACTAAAGTCAAGTCCACTGTAGTCATGGAAACGTTACTTTTGAAAATATTACTTGTATTTTGACAAAACTTGATAAGTTTTCTTGTCATACAAATACATTAACTAAAAGTCTAGAAAAATCAGTAGCTTAAAGAACTTCATTTTATGTTATATTATGAAAAATGCGTAAAACAAGTGGAGTGGAAAAACATTGCGCACTATGCTAAACTASAATGACATCAGTTTAGTTTCCAAATAAAGATTAATAGTTCTCGCTAAGGGATTTTCCCATGATTCTGTCTTTCTTTATTTGTATACTGATGTAATAAACTTTCAGTAAGTTGAAGTGTCACTTTTGACGGAGTTTGTTTGATTAGCGAAGAACATTTTTACAATGGTGTTACCTGGAAGAAAAAAAACGAGCGAGCTCCATTCCGGCAACGTTCGTTTCAACATTATACTCTGTTTGCAGTTTTATTGTTACTGTTATTGGCTCTTTTCAATTTTCATGCGAATAAAGATATAATATAATAGATTTATCAGTGAGCTTTAATAGGTCCAGTAACTTTTGCAAATTTACTCTTTGTGCTTGTTGAAGGATTGGAGATTACTGAAATACAGAATTGGAATTTCTGCTTGTCAGTTTCTGGAAAAGGAGAATTGACCATTTTACTACGTACAGTTGGCTTAA